TTATATATATATAATTTATGAGAATAGCGTTACCCTCTCTGTGGAAATTGGCAGTTTTTCACGAATCATGGCAGCATTCAAGCAGCTACACTGATATCTTAACAAAATGACACCTCATTTAACTTCTCCCTTGAAAGAACATTTTCCATCACATTCCCTCTTCTTGACATTCTCAATTTAATTATTTTGAAAACAAGCATCAATTTAAACGTAAGATGGGAGAAACATTTAACTCTGTAAAAGTAAAATGTCATTCGATGCAAATTTAAACTGTGAGACATAATTCAGTACCTCAAAGTTGTAAACTGGTCATGACATGAATTTATTACTTTTTCTATAAGAAAGGTTAGACACTTGGCTTGGGTGTGAAATCAAGACACAAAATACTTCTTAATGTCTTCAATAAACTTTGAGTAGGTTTAGCAGGAAAACAAGAGCAAATCCGCTTAAAAGTTTATAACAGAACAAACAGAGAAATGAAATGCCTATATGGTAGGTGTAAATACAATGAATACACCAAAATTATGATCATATTTACCTCACAGAAAAGTGTGAGTTTGTCATCTGGTAGGAGACCATTAGCTTCATCGAGGAGGAAATCTCTCCTTATAAACTTTTTGAAGCCCCAGTCTTTGCCCTGGACAAATCTATACGCTCTTTGGCTCTCTGCAAACAGAAGAGAAGTAATGCTGTGTGTTAGAATCCACTTCAAACTTGCAAATCAAAAACACAAAAAGCCTGTTATCACTTCTACTTACCCATTGCTTTTGTTTCCTCTCTTTTAGCATTCAACAAAGAAAATTTAAACTTTGCTCGGACTTCACTTTTTGGACAACTAACAAGAAGTAAATACAGTGATAGATAATCTTTGCTTTCATCATCAAGTCCCTTTGGATTGACTCGCAGACACCTGGAGCAGGAGAAACCCAATGAACATTAGATTATCTATAATCTTTTGCACATTTCCAAATTTTTCCATGGCCAGAACATTAATCCAAACTGTAGAGGAAACTACTTTCATACCATTTCATTTTGTCATTAGGCCCCGAGGAGAAGGTTGAGCTCTTCAACACCTCTCCCATTTCTTCTCTGCAAAAACTAAAGTTGTTTATGGTCCACATGTAAGAAAACTTCACAACTTTGACCTGAAAACAAAAAAATAAAAAATAAAGCACATGAGATCTTTTTAACTGGAAATGGAGGAATTAGCAATCAAGTCAAACATTGCATGATAAAAAAAAATACAGCGGTAACTTAATTTCAATATCATAGCTCAGGATTTATGAAGTGAAGTTCAGTTTAAAGTTTATAATCAGTTTATACTATACACTGCCTTACTTTTTTCAGTTTCACTGACAGAAAAAGATTTACATGTTCTGTTATTTTCTCTGCGAATAATCCGTTCAGAATAATTTAACTTATATTCAAAGCACTTAAAACCCAACTTCAATCTAAATACACAGACTCAAATTCTATTACATGCATTACAATTCGATCCTAAATATAAATCTATGCATTTAATTACAATTTATGCAAAATAATAGATTGCTTCATTAAGTGCATGGCACTGCAGCAATCTCTCCTCTTTTGAAATATCTATAGGGTCCTTTGCTATGATAAAGTTGAGCAAACCGTTATTGCAGTACCTTTCTATAATGCAAACATGTATGTGTTATAAGGTTCATGGCATAGAGTTAAGATTATAGCTTCTTAAGAATGAGGTCTGCTTATGAAAAGACCGCTCTCAAGACTAGCTATTAGTTTTAACCTGGGCTACCAGCTAATCTAGATTTCAATAACTTAAGGGAATGCCAGAAATGATCAATGCTGGGTAAACATAAACTGATTTTAGCATTAGTAATGATCTTGCCTTCAAAAAATATCATCAACGATCCACCTAGCCTAGTAAACTAGCCCCACCGACCAGCAGCCAAAATCATTTTTGCCTGCGAGTTGGTCTAGCCTCGATCAACGCCCCAGGCCCTAGAACTGGCTGGCCAATCACAACGCAGAGATGTGTTTAGAATGTCTGGATGCAAAGCGGGCGGGGTTTTGAGAGCGTGACGTTAAAGCTGCCAGATGCTGTAGAAAGCACAACAATAGCATGCAGTGCGGCAGCAGCAGCTTTCAATGGAGCGCTCCATTGAAAGTTAAAAGTTATCTTTTCTGTTGTTGTTCAATAAAAGTATATTTTAAGATAATTTGAGGCAAGACTATTATACTTTAAAGCGTCACTATATGGTCCATTTACCGATTTAATGCGTAATTAAAAAAACAATTTCCGAAGTTGAGAGGACTGCGGCAACCAGAGGAGCTCCAAAGCTATCGGCAGCCAGGGCTAACCGCAGCGGCCCTCTCTCGGCATAGTCATGTGTGAAGGACCGCTGATGGCGATTTTTGACTCAGCTTTGGAATCAGTTTTGGAAGGTTTAGACTTGGGGTTTTCGTTGAAATGTGAGCAGGAAGAGGCTCTATGCTCATTCATTTTTAAGAAGGACATATTTGCCGTTTTATTTGCCGTTTTATTTGCTGTTTGTTTACACTCCCCCACCAGCTTCCTGTCGCACTTCCTACGTAACAGTCAGTTGCACTAATTGGTCAGAGCGTTGGCCAATAGGCACAGACAGCGGTTTGAAAAACATCGGGTTGTTCTCATCAACAATCTTCCGATGTCTCATTCATCGGGGCCAGAATAAATAACACATTTCATCTCCCATTTAGTTTGGTTTACCAGGCTACTATCCACTAATATTGACAAGTCTTAAGAATCTCCATACTGACTGTTTGAACGGATTCTCTATTTAGCACCAGTTCTCTTTCAACAATCCAAGAAGCAATCTACCCCTGCCAGACGGATGTGATAGAAGAAACAACTCAGCTCTAACCTCCTAAACTATGGGACTAGCTTTGACTGGCTTATTTCAAAATTAAGAGCCACAGTAGATGCAAGTGGGCCCCATTGAAAGGAAAACAATAAAAGCAGATCTAAAAAACTGAAGCTGAATCAGATAATTGGTTCTACTTTAACCTTAAAGTTGATATCACCATAGATCACATTGTTCATGCTGGACATGTACCATATAAAAAAACTAAAACTGCTGTTTTTAACCCTTGACCAAAACAAATGTAAGGGTTAATATGATTCAAATTAATTATATTTATATGCTTGAGATGCTTTAAGTAACTTGCATTTTTAGGGGGTTTTCAGTCTCTGGCACTGTTATTTTGAGATAAATTGGCTGAGATGTTTAAGAAACCAAACTCTGATCACTTTCCAAACTCTCTAGGAAAAAAAAACAAAAAACAAAAACATTAGGACCAGGAACTGTGAACAACTTATGGGAGATTAGCCCCTGTGGTTCCAGTTCTAGGCCACATTTTTGAGCCAGAACTCAGCTCAGGTTGTCTCTTTTATTAAATGATCTCCTATTAGATGGGATAAGGAAAAAAACGCTTTAAATCAGACGCTATATAAAATGAGTACAATGAAGGAAAAACATCTAGTGCTCAGTGTGTTAAAAATACGCCAAACATCACATAACATTACAAGTTGCTTTACTAACTCTAAGCAGGACCAGATCATTCTACATCATCTAATGTACAAAATAAATATTTTCATAAATATTTCATACCTGTGTGTAACACCAGCTCTCTGCCACAGGTCCACTTGACATCTCCCCAGGAGGAGGAGGGGTAGGAACCCGTGACATCACTGGTTCGGATGTACCACTCACTGACGTCTTTAAAGCTCTGACAAAAAGAAAAAAGAAAAAGGAGTGTTATCTCTGGATAAATTATCATGAAATATGATTTCATCATTCTCTAACAGATACCTGGCAAAATGTGGATTAACTTGATAATTTAATAAGGTTGCGCTTGATTGTGAGGTGATTTTGATAAATGTCAGTTGGCAGGAATGTGACATTTTTAATATGGTATCTTTGAACAAATACATTTCTCAGTTCAAGAGAAATTTCTCATGTTAGCAGCTCTTCATTACTGAAAACTAAAATCTGTTCCTTTAACTGTATGGGGTTTTGGTAATGTGAATTGAAAATATAATATTTATCCTTCCAAAGGTGGTTCAAATGTGTGAGTCACTAATTGTTTTAGTTGTTTAGTTCATAAATTTGGATGCTGAAATCTTGCCTTCATTTCCTATCATATAATAAAGAAACAGTAACATTTGTTGTTGTTTTTTTTTGGTTTTTTGTTTTTTATAAATGGAAACAGTCGGTGATGCATTTATTCATGTGTAAAATGAAATGACTAGAAAAATGAAAATGGAGACTAGAAAAATGGGTGTGCTAAATTGTACTTGTGCTAAATTTTATATATATTTATATATATATGTAAATAAATTTGGCTGCTAATCAATAAATCTGTCAATTCCTTTTTTATTAATTGATTAATAATTGGATAATGAATCGTTCTTTAAAGAAGATTTACATATTAACAGACAAAAAAGTTTATTTTATCTTAAATGCAATATATTTTGTTACAATTTACTAAGTAAGTCGCTATGTCAGCTAAAGGCATGTTTTAGAGTCTCTATACTCCAGTTAATTATGAATCGATTACTAAATTAGTCAACGATTATTTAAATAATCGATTAATCCAATAAATGCTTTCTGCAATATATGAAATACACACATAGACACACATTGCACCCCACCAGAGTAACCTCACCAAAAGAAATTATACTGCCATCATAACTTAGTTTGACAATGATGGACCTGGTTCTCAAAGTTACGTAAGCATGGTGAATAACATTTTCTTATTCCATGCCCTTAAAACTTTTTAACCTAAGTTATTGCAATAAAAACAAGACATTTTGACTTAAATTCCAAAAACAATAAAAACAGAAGTAAAGGATGTAGTAATAGAGGTTATTATATCATTTGTATAAGGCTTTTCCTATAGACTGCACCAAGATATGCAAATAAGCAAAACATCTATTTATAAGCATGCTCTTCAAGTAATCTATTAATGTTTTTTAGCAAGCTCATTTTAACAAAATTAATTAAAAGAAATCTGCAACAACTGACATTAGATGTTTTACCTGACCAGTGCCGTTTGTGCTTAAAGTACATATTACGATACATTAGTGAGGGTATATACTCCACTCTCTGCCTTGGTTACAAAGGGCAGCGCTCTGTTACTGCTACTGAGGTATACCAAAGTTCTAAAAGAAAAGTCTCAAAAACTAAACAAGTTGTGTATTGTGTAGTTCCTATGGCTTAAAAATTGCTTCAACGAGAAACAATAGAAAGTTATTACGTTTTCTGCAGTTGTAATCTGTTCACACAATCTGTTGCTGTGCACTGCTAATCAGCTGACTGATAAAACACAACAACCAATTTCCAATCTGTGTGTCTGGAAATATTATCAGTTGAAAATACATAGAGATTGTGTCTACATTAAGGCTAAAATGTGTTATCCAATTTATAATTTTAGCCTCTTTGTCATTAGATATGCAACACCATGCAAGGCAGAACACATGGGTGCTGTATATATCAATTTTTAAAAGATATTGCGAAAACATTCAATAAACAGATCTCACACAGACCATACATGTATAAACATGCATAGACTTGCTACTCCAAATCTATTTAGTGCAGGATGTCTGCCCCCCCTCCCCAGCTTACCTACAAAATAAAGTAAAGCAAGATGAGCAATGAATGAAATACGTTTGCATCACCTTTTGGATTCTTGAAATGTATAATAATGGAGTTCTTCCTCTATGTATTCACCGAATCCTTCATTGTCCCATCTTCAATTGACACCCTAAGAAAAAAACAACAAAACAAATAACGATTAAGACACGAAACTGTCCAGGTTATTGTCTAAAAACATAATACTTTCAGTAATCATAGCAGAATCTGAAGCCCCCCCCAACTTTAAAAAGAAGCAGTATGGACACAAAAAGGGTATCACGACTAAAGAACTGACTAAATATTAAATTTAGACATGGGCTCATGTCGAGAAAACTAGTCTTAAACATAGAATTACTGCAAACTAGCTTGATTTTAAACATTTAACCTTATGGTAAACCTAGTTTCAAGGCAAACGGTCTCGAAAATCAATTTGATGAAGTCATGAATTCACCAGAAACTCCTGTTTGGCTAACACATTAGCTAGAGTTTTGCAACAACGCCAAAAATGGAACTGTGTATGCAAAGCGGACATACGTCCTTCTAGAATATCTGCACTACACCAACCGCTGTTACTTGCGTTTCAGTAAAAAAAAAAAGAAACAATTATCGATATTTAAGATATAAAACGGGTGCGACAAAAGATGGGATGAAAAACAACTATTAGCAAACACGGGTTCCAGTTAAAACAATCGTTGCTGGTCGTCATCTACATTGTTCCACTGTTCAGTTATTACATATCAGTCTATTAGAGTTCTAAAAAAAATGGGTAATCATAACTTTATCGAATGAAACCTTGGTGTTATAAGCGGTACACATTTGGCTAACCCTAAGCTAATGTTTCCATTAGCAAGATTAACTTCACTTTAGCAATCAGAGCGGATATTTAGCGAATATCTGTTCACAAACCATTTGTAATCCCCCCTTTTTTTGCTGTTATTCCTCGACCGTAACGTTCTCAAATCGGGAATGCGTCAAGTTAAATCAGGAAGGTGATGTTTAGGCTCCGCAATAGCCGGTGTAAAACAAAGGCCCTTTACTGATCCCAATGACAGGATGCTAACCAGAAGCTAATGTAAACCCTCACGCTCTGATACAGGAGGTAAAAACAACATCAGCTAACTAGCAGCTAGCAAACGGCTAATCCTTCCCCCTCCTGGTTGCTGACAAAAAGTTTAAAAAGACGTCGTGTTGGCGTACCTTTTAATTTTATATTCCCATATATATCGTATAACACATATGGCTTTGTGTTTTACTCGCTCCGTCCACCGTGCGTCACTTTGGACTCTTTTTCATTCAGTCTCTTCACAAGGTTTCTTTGTCTAATTTATCTGGGCTAGCATACAGTTGTCTAGCTGGCTTGTAGCTTCACAGGCTGAAAAATATAGCTCACTGCGCAAGCGCGAAATTCTGGTAACGCTCAGAGAATGGATACTCTACAAATACGAATCTTTAACTATATCCAGATAATTTAGTCATGTAAAAATAAAGCAAACTTAAATATTTATTTAGATTATTTGCAAATATACTTAATGTCCAGCTGATTCTGCAAGTTTCTTCCCCACCGCCATCAGAAAGCTGAACTGTTAAAAAAAAAAACTCAAAATCATGTCACAGACTCTGCATCACACTAATAACACCGAACTAAAAGTACTGCATATTTGCATCATATATATTAATTACGGAAGAGGATCAGGGACACTGAATAAAAAAAAAAAAAGTTGACTAATTTTGAGATTTTATTTCAGTTTAATATGGGAAAAAAGTCAGAATTCTGACTTTAATCTCAGAATTCTCACGTTTTCTCTGTATTAAAATTAAAATGGGGAAGACATGAAATTATATTTGACAGAAGGAGGAATAGATGCCTTATCTCTACATATACTAGGGATAGCTGTGGAGGTTGTTATAGGCTTCAAGTAACTTTATCTAATGACTTCAAGTGCAAATGCTTAAACACATAAACACCTCAAGTGGAGAGTGAACTCTTCCATCCTGGGTAAGAAGATATAAAAGCATCCCCATTTCCCCAGTAGTAATGCTTGCAGAACTGGGGAGCTCAGTTCTGACCTCATTCTACAGATGTTTGGTGGGGAGTTTTCTTACCTTCTTTATTCTTGTGGTGATGCAGCTGCTCTGTCGGAGACGTAGGGTTGGGATGGCTGCATTAGAAGACTGTGGGAAACAATTTACTCTTCACATCAGACAATACTACCAGATGTAGGAAGAAGGCCTCCTGCATCACGAAGGTCCCCACACAAAATGTTTGCTTCTCTCGCTTTTAGGCATGAGGCTGAGGAGCATCAGGAGCAGAACCACCAGACTAAAATGCAGCTTCTACTGCAAAGCTGGAGGACATGCAACCCTAGCAATTGGTGCATTTATGTAATTGTAGTGTACTCATGGTAATTAAGTTTATTGAGTGATTATGTTGATCTTCTTTTCTCCACTTATATTTCTCTATTCATCTGATACTCAAAAGCATAATTTCTCACAGGACCTGCTACTAACACCACACCCTCAGCCGTTTAGTGGAGTCCACTCTCCAGCTGGTCCGGCCTGTTTAAGCAGCCCAAGCAGGACTAAACAGTATCACATCACTTTACAATTCAATGAACATTTGCAGCTCTAGCATTAGAAATAATGGGACGGCTGGCCACCTAAAATTCAGAATACCTAACAAAACATGTTTTGAAATCCTTTTCTGTATCATGTTGATTTTTTAATGATATTCAATTTTTTTCATGATTTTTGTATATTGAGAATTTGTTTTGCTGCCAAATTTGCCTCAGAACATTTTTTTTAAGAGACAGCTTCCTACAGTAAATAGATTGCTTTTTGGTTAAAATGACTGAAAAACGTTTAAATTAATGTGATACATTACATCCAAGGTAATAAATGGCAGACTATATTCAAAAGCAAGCACACTCGAAAGGAACACTTTAGTTTGCACAAGGACATTGTTGTACTTGACATTTCAGCATTTAGATATTAGGGGAACCAAGATGACCCTTATAAATATATAATTTACATAATGTATAGAAAGACTGTTTTGTCAAATAAAGAAAAGTTATAGGTTAAAATAGAGGGAATATTGAAATTTCCCTACTCATCTTTCAGAAGTTTCAAAACACATTTACAGTAAATTACTACATTGTTTGAACTGAAAAGGAAAATTAACTAACTTAAACATAAAAAGCCAGAATGTGAGTTTTTTTTTATATAAAGATCTGTCCAACTTCCATTATTGTCATATTTGACTGTATATATCCACTACCAAATAAAATAAATTGGTTTTGCCTCAGAACTGTAGCTATAAACTAGCAGGAGATCTTTAAAAAATAAAAAAGTGTACTTTCACCACATCATCTCTGTATTCAAATCATCTTGCATTCCATATCTTTTCTGTAGGGAATGCCATTATTATTATTTTCAAAACAAATCCATTGCATGCAGCTGTCAAATCAAGTAAACAATGTCATTCAAGATCTATGGCTTGTATTAAAGGGCAGATTTGGTTTATTTCATATC